CTAGCCAGGGCAGAGCTGGCCCGGCCGTGACGGCAGCCCCGCCCACTGTGGCCCAGACCCCGCCCCTCGACGGTGTGCCCCGCCCACCGGCCCTAGCCCGGCGCTGGGGGAAAAGTGAAGCTCTTCAGTGAAGACATAAATGTTATTAAAGAGCCTGTTTTAGGGACTGCACCCGGCTCTCCTGTTGTCCTTTCTGCTGCGCTGGCCTCTGTCAGCTCCTCCCGTTTAAGGACAGCCGTAGAGCCGCACTCAGGGCCCAATCTAGCCCCCTGGGACCTGTCACCTGCCCGGTCCCCATTCAGTTCTCCTGTAAGGGAGGCAGCTGAGATAAAGAGTTTGCCCGGGTCAGCGGGGTTTAGTGGGACCGTGAGAGGAAAACAGGTGGGGACATCCAAGGACACAGTGAATGATGGGGAGGGCAGCATGGAAGGGTGGCAAGGCAGGGTATCGCCACATTCACCCCTTGGGGGATTGGGACATGGGAGATGCTGGATTTCCCAGCTCTACCTACAGGGGGCGAGGGCCTTCCTCCTTCTATGGATGCATCTTGGGCCCGTTCAGAAGCTGAGTCGCAGAGTTCCATGTCCCCAGCTCGCATCCAGTACCCAGGTCTCAGGCCATGTCCTTCCCAGAAAGCCTTTTCCTGCAGGAACAAAGCCAACTTCCCCTCCCCTACTCTAAACTCTGCCCACAGATCCACATACCCCTGCTCAGGAGGGGCCTCACAGGGCCAGGCCAGTGGTGTATACCACAGACTCCCAGGAAGCTGAACCTCAAAGACTACAGCTGAGACAGCCACAAGAGGGGGAATAAGCACCCTTGGGTGACTCCCAGGGGTAGGGGGTCCTCTGGCTGGAGCCCTAATGGTTTGGGGTCTATACTAGGCCAAGTACAAATCCCCATCCTACCTGGGCAGGAACAGAGAGGACAAGAGGGGGCTTTGGCTGTGCAGAGGCCTGGGCTGGTGAAGGGTGTCCACCTGCCACCTTCTGCTTCTCAGTCTGTTGGAGGAGTGGCTGAGCCTCCGACTCTATAGGAGGAAGTGGCCTTTGCAAGTGTTCCAAGGGCCTCCAAGGTAGCATGAAGACTTGAACACAGGGTTTGCCAACCTGCAGCCCTCCTGTACCTCCCTCAAGATAGTCGGCCACTGCAGAGGCCACTTGCATGCTTAGCACTCACTCAGAATGGAACAGAAACAGGCAAAAGGAACTAATGGTTGTCACCTTTTAAAATTAGAAACTCAGAGTAGGAGAACATTCGAGGTCTTTGCCCCCCTAAGCATGGCAGTCAGGCCATGTTCCTGCTGTGTTCCTATGTTAAAGTAAATTCAGGGGGCAACTGGAACATGATAAGATGATCCTGGGCTCTCCTAAGGGACGCAGCAGTAAGGGCAAGAAGCAAGAAGTCAAGTGAAGGAACCTCTCCTCCACAGTGTGGCTACCAGGACAAGACCCTCGGGTCTGTCACTCAAAGTGCTGCTCCCAGAAAGCCCTGACTTAGAGAGGCTCTGGGGAAATCACAGTAGTCCAACACCCGGCAGCATCATTTCCAACATGGCTTCATTTGCTCCCCAAGGAACACTCCAGATGCTGCTCTGTGCAGGGACTGGCCCATGGGCAGGCAGCCAGGAAGGCACATGGCAGTGTGATGGGCACAAGGAAGGGCTGGGCCCTGGCTGTGTATGACAGTGGGGGAGGGCTGTGGGTGCCAGGGGCAGCAAAGTGGAGAGGGCCTTGAAAGCCTGCCGGGGAGTTAGCTTAGAAAGCCAGTAGCAATTAGAAATGGGAGCCAAGATGGCTCTAAGGTCCTGGGGATGGGGAGGATGGATGAACCCAGGGGCCAGGAGGCTGAAGTTCAGAAAGGGTTGGGGGGCAGGAAAGGAGGAGGAGAATAGCCATGAAGGAAAGGTCATGGCACAGTGGCAGATTTTGCCGGATGGAGGGGTGGGACCTGCAGGACCCAGGCAACTAGCTCCACCCCCGAGGGGCTGCAGAGAGGAGAACCCGGAAGCTGATCCCAGAGTCTAGGAGAGAGGAGGAGGCATCTGGCCGGCTCCAGCAGGGGGCTTCCAGACGCTGGAGTCCACTTTCTAGCCCAGGACAACCCTCAACACTGGCTGTCTGCTCTCCCTCTTCCTCTCAGGTAAGAGATGGCCTTGGGGTTTCCCCACATGAGCCGCAGATGGTCATTTTGGCTACGGAAAGTCTCCGAGGCCAACACTGCAGTTTTGCTCCCTGGGAAGGACCCTGGGTCCAGGTGAGGCTGTGCTGGATTCATGGAGTTTGCCCGAGGGCGACCTGGTCTCAGAGGGCTCCATGGTGACGCAAAAGTGGAAGGTCCGCCTTGGAGGACTGCCAGATCTGACCACAGAGAGTGGATTTTCCTTTCCTCAGCAACCACCCAGGCAGACCAGAAGTGGGAAAATGCCCTGTCAGCTGGCTCAGGACAGATGGTTCCCATGGGAACCGGGTGTGTGTGTGTGTGTGTCTGTGTGTGTCTGTGTGTGTGTGTGTGTTGGGGTGGGGTGGGGAGGGGAGGGTCCACACCTGTGCCTGCCTATCAGCAGAGAAAGCTGACGGAAGGCAGAAAGTTCCTGCAGAAATGCAATTGCATACCTGGAATGATTGAAATAAACGGTTTCCTGCCGTGGGTTGTTTTCGTTTTTTGTTTTTGTACTGGGGATCGAACTCCGGTCCTTGCACCTGCAAGGGGCGTCACCCCTAAGCTAAATCCCTGGCCCGGTTATTTCTAATGTAGGCAAGTCGGAGCCCCTTTGGGGTAGAAGTAAACTTTCTGGGCCCATGGAGGACTCTGATGTGACTGGTATTGAGTGAAGCCAAGTGGGTTGGGGATTTGGCTCAGTGGATCTGCTGCCTGCCTTGATCGCTGGTATCACCAAAAAAAAGAGAGAGAGAGAGTGAAGCCAAGTTTTGAGGCAAACTTTGATTAATGAATCTCAGTCTCCTCAGGTCCTTTTATTTTTTAAAAAATGCCAAAACTGCTGTTCTGTGGGTGGGAAGTCATCAGCAGGTCTCTCTTCTCCCTCAAGACTCTAGACCATGGGTTCCTAACCTTTTTTATTTTTATTTTTTCCAGCACTGAGAATGAGCCCAGCACCTTTGTGCTCAGCTATCTTTTTTTTTTTTTTGTACCCGGGATTGAACTCGGGTCCTTGCGCTTGCAAGGCAGGCCACCGAACTGCTGAGCTAAATCCCCGGCCCTATTTATTTATTTTTAGACAGGGCCCCACTAACTTGCTAAGTTATCCAGGATGGGTTTGAACTTGCAATCCTCCTGTCTTGACCTCCCAAAATGCTGGGATTGCAGGCCTGGCACTAAACTCTTTTATTTTTCAGACACCTTAATAGTCTAGTGAAACCTATAGCACCCTGCTCAGAAGAATGTTTTTCTTGGGCTGGGATGTAGCTCAGTGGTGCCAAACCTGCCTTGCAAGTGCAAGGTCCTGAGTTTGATCCCTGGTATGGGGAAGAGGGGATGTTTTTTCTTTTTCTTTCTTTGTTTTTGAGACAAATTCTCAATTTCAATTCAGGCTGGCCTTGAACTCACAGCAAAAAAGAATGGCCAAAAAAGAATGTTTAAAAGGTATGAATAAAATACATAGCCTTGCAAAGAAAACCAGTTACGTTGCAATTAATTTAAAACATTAAATATAGTCCAAATAATTTTTTTAAATTTGTGATACGTGCTGGACGTGGTGGTGCATGCCTGTTATCCCAGCACTCAGGAGGCTGAGACAGGAGGATCGCTGTGAGTTCGAGACCAGCCTGGGCTACATATTTCCAGGTCGGTCTTAACTACATAGTGAGACCCTGTCTCAAAACAAACAAACAAAATTTGTGATATGGTAATATGCATGGTTCTTTTTTTAACATGTTAAAATACCAAGCTGTAGCAGTGGTTCTCATAACTATTCTAATTTCAAAATATGCTGGGGTTGTAAATGATACCTGAGACATTTTACAGTGACCAAGATGTATTGTGACAACATTCCTGATTTCAAGTGGTGGCCAAGTGGTCGGTGAAGCTATGGTTTCTAATCAGATGAAAGAAATGTGATTTCCAGTTAGAGGTTAAAGTAAAGGAGGGGTGAGGCTCAGAGGTGAGGGAAGTTCCACCCAGCCCAGCAAAAAGCCACCTACCCAGGGGAGCGCAGAGCTGCCAGAGCTCTATTTCCATGGCAAAACCCGGGAAATCACCCAGATGGCTACTGACAGGGGAAAGGGAGTGACCACCAGGTGCGTTCATAGGATGACAACGTGGCAGCAATGACAGGATGGACAGCAACACCTAGAGCTGAGGTCAAATCTCCCAAACAAGAGCAAAAATAATAACAATAATAATAACTTGCAGGACACAGTGTTATTCTGTCCATAGAAAGCAACAAATTTTGCACTAAAGAGTGGGTCATTTAGGATCCATATTTATACAGTAAATCTAAGGAAGAAGCCGCTAAACATTACTCGGTATTTAGTGCAGTTAGTGGGAGTGGGTAGAAATGCAGTGGGAGGGACAAACAGGATGGTTTGAAACTGAGTGGTGAGTATA